GTACTTTGAAAATAGATCCTGTAAATTTATAGTTACAAAGTACAGTAGTTTTGACAGTCAAGGTCCCTAATTAGACCACAAATGAGATAAATGTTTAGAAGTACAAACCAACTGCCCAGAACAAACTGCAATAACTTGTAAAACACTTGCTCCAATTCCGCAGGCAAAAGCTACTTTCTTCAATGGTCTCTCCGTAGACAGTTTGAAGGTCAGTTCACTGCATAACGTTCTGTGTACTCTTGGTAAGATAATGAGTTCACTGTTTACGTTCGTAACTAACCAAAAAAAATGTTTGTCTTTAAAGTTCCTTTGTCATTATTCAAATTAAATCGTTTTTGAAAATGTATTTAGGAGCTTAAAAACGATTTAAACCAAAAATTTGACGATTTCATAGCTCAAGTCTCGGGAACTTGTACAACACGACAACAGCAAGCGTTCAGAAGAAAAGCTAACTCTCTCCTTCAAAGAGGATCAAAGTTGTCCAAAAGAAGAACGTCGACACCCGCTTCTAGCCGTGTAGCTTTTCAAGAACCATTCCCAATGCCAGATTTATAGCACTAGGAAATCAAATGTTTTTTTTCCTGCAGCATCACAGATAATCAATCTTTTAAGTAACCACTAAAAGATTTGAATTAATTTAAAAAAGCCTATGCTAAAGAAGTGTTAACGCTAAATAACTGTAGCTTCTTGGAAAAAAAGTTTTTATCTTTTGCTGTATTATTCTGGCCAGTATGTGAACATAAAATGAGTTGTTAAAACGATAGTATTGAAATATGCCTTCGTTGACGTTAATCGTGGATGTATTTTGAACATAAAAGATAGGTCAATAACACCTGTCAAACACACGGTAGCTCCTTTGGAAAAGAGACTTCTGTTATTCAAGTTCCTATTTTTGATATGTCAAGTAGGCTAGTAAGGTTTCGGCTACCAAAATTCCGGCGCATTTAGGATGTGCAATCTGAACCAACGATAAGTCTTTGTTAAACTTTATTTTTATGTGCTCCAAAGTCCTTTAAGAAGCGGTAACAGAAATTTCCTACAGCTTTACTCAGTTCAGTAAAGATAGGAAAAACAAACCCTTTCAAAGTGAATAATTAATCTTGTTAAGTTCTAAAAACAGCTAAGAGGCGCAACTCACAGAAAAAGACAAAATACTACTGAATCGATTGTTCTTCTCTCTGTGGATATCGAAGGGAACGGAATTCAGCAGTAGGCCGTTTCCGAAGGATTTCATAAGAGCAACAACAACAGTTTGGGTATGAGAATAAACCGTCAAAGAAAACTCCGATTTTAGACATTTTTAACGGATACGCAAGGGTGTGACGTCCTCTCCTTGCTCTACTTAACTGCGCCATTCTCCATTAACATTTAGAAAAAACTAGTCTTATTTTTTGTAGCAGAAAATCGTCTCGCAAATGTTCTTCGAAGATTACTTTTATTACTACCTCTGTTCAGCAATCTAGGGATGCAAGAAATCTTTACTTCCTTTAAAAAACGTCCTTTGACAAGCGACTTATAAACCCATCACAATTAAAAGCTTGGTCGCCCAAGACTAACCACTCACCAGAAAAATTTCAACAAATCCCGTAGACTGTAAAAAAAAATTTCTTCACACTTATTTACTCTTCTGACCAAGTCGTAAAAATTAAAGAACTGAAAAACAGTGGATACAGAACCTTCCTTCTTTGCCAGCATCAAAATATGTAATAAAATGTAATAATTCCCGTCACAGTGTTATACATGCTTCTACGCCCACAAACTACAAATATTCCACACCAATTGGAAGCATCATGACAATAATAAAATGATACTTTATACGCACCTTGATAACAATCATAATATTGTCAAATCCAGAAATTTAAAATTTAAAAAATCTGAAAAAATCAAATTAACC